CATGTGTTTTGAGAACTGCACCAGGAAAACAAACTAACATTCTCCACTCGATCGTCGCGTGATGGCGTGTTGGCGTGATTCACACTCCACAGAGTGCACACGCCTGTGGCATCATCCCAAAGGCCAAAGCTGGAACATGAGGTGGAGACAACAAACATGCCCAACCTGGCAGTATCTTCAGTGTCGGCCAAATCCAATGTCATACTTCTCTGACGTTCATTTTGGGGGAAACAAATACCAACAAAGTTGTTGAAAGCTACTGCCCACTTAGGAGTGTCCAATCCTCGGCCTTCTCAGCTCCATTCCTGTTTTGCCACATCGGCACACGGAAGGAAAACGAGCTCCAGTGCTGAATCCGTTTCAAAATGGGAGAAGCCACTCCCTAACTACCCAAAAACTTGTCAAAATTCCTTCAATGCGCAGGGTCCCTGAGGTTTCTTTGTACCAGCCAGCTGGTACTAACTTGTTAGCTGCCAGCTAAATAGATTCTAGTCTAGCTCGAGGTCGATCAAGGCTTGGGAGTTCCCCCCGTGGTCGCTCCCATGGTCTTTCGGCTCCATTGTTCATCATGAAGAGTCCAAAAAGAACTGTACCCAGACACTCCATGGGACTGCCATAGGACTGCCGCCCCATTCGGGTGGTCCCAGGAGGGTCTGTCTGGGGCGGCAGTCCGAACTGGCAGTCCGGATCGTCGTGTATGGGGAACGACACAGAGTCACGTGAGCTCTGGGGTGCCGAACTTAGAGGATAGGGGTGCTTCGACGGTACATCCACTCACTATAGATGGGACTTAACACCACCTGGGAGCTCTGTGACTCCCGGTATCTGACCCTGAGTGACGAGACGACCTCTTTGGAGCCCTCAACCAGTCCTAGACTGGCTTGGCGGATGGATTGAGTGGGTTTGAACCAAAGAACCGTTCAACCAGGTCAACCGAACTCTTTTCATGCGAAAACCGGACGGAGAGTACTTCACCCTTCGTGAATGGATTTCTGTCTCAGACCTTGGGAAGATGCCACCAATGCCACGTGTGTCACGACGTAAGATAGGCATCCTCGCAGAACATGCCTTCTGTGCAAGGTGGCCATTTGAGCCCAACATGATTCAACGGAAGGTTGGCATGTGATCAGGGATTTGATGTATCAGCATGGAAAAGCAACCAGTGGGAAGCCCACTGCTTTGAAATCGAAATATATCGAAATCGGCTTTCAAGACCCATGACAGAGCACAGATTTTATATAAGTGTAGGTCCAAACCAGGATACCCGGGTTGGCCTACCTGGAAGGTCAACCTACATGGTGGACCAGTGCTCCAGGTTTTGACCCAACCCCATATGACTGTTATATGTTGGACTAAACATCATGCACAGCTGACATGTGTCAATAGCTGAACCATTTTGGACAAAGGATGATCATGATAACCTCCATCGATATTTAAAGCTCGTGTGCGTGTCATTTGTGAGCGTGAGTCTCTGTGTTTGAACAACATATAACATTGTCAATATGTGTCAATCATAGACAGGTTCCATCATTCTCCCCGCAGTGCACATTGGATTGGGCGTGTCACCCTGGAAGTATGTGAACTTCCCCACATGGACCAATTCTACTGCTGGGGGGCCGTGCCTCCAGCGGGACGTCGGTGACCGAAAGGTGCAAATCTCCAAGACCAAAGGAAAATGCATCTGCGTAGCTGCAGTCTTCAAAGTATCTCGGAAAATACGTACAGTCGTGCCTGCTTTTGATGGGGTCATGTCCCCATTTGTGTACTTGAAGTCAGTTCGGATCTACTGCCCTAAGAATCCACACTCCAGTTGTGCTGGGTCTGGGCGACCCACAGGGAGACAAACATCTGGCCATGTAGCGAAAAGTCGGACGACCTGAAAACCCACAGGTGAGAACCCTCATGGTGTCTGCTCATCTAGCCCTATGAGAACCACAAACCGATATGAATCCTGTGATGAAACAAGTACAGGGACTGCTTGGTACCACACCATCTTCATGATTTTGAGATCTGAAGGGCCCAGGTGCCAGAAGGGTTGTAGCCATAACATCTCTCAGCATGCTGCTTGAGCTCACAGAAGGACATCGAAACATATCAAAACAAAGCGTTTAGATGGATGGCAAGAACAACATGCGATCGTCTCAAGCAAGCTGAAGACGAATTCAACGATAGCAAGAGCCATATATCGGATTTCCCATCTCAAGGCTTGGTTTTTGATCCACAATTGTCGAGCAGGCTCCTATCAACAATTAGGTGAGTGCATGGGCAAAATTCCATCTATATGTGGATACGATCAAGGTCCCAAACCATTGAGACAGGGTTGGACCGCCTAGGAAGAGGAAGATTAGTCGGGCCTAGAGGGCGCAAGAAGAGACATGTGCCACGCCTGCCCGAGTGTGAAACGGGCGGTCCAGCTTTCGTCCTATGTGACGATAATCAAGAGGTTCAAACAGCTTCATTGCAAGCACCAAATACTATCCCTATTATATGGATCCTCATACCCTTGGATATTGAAAAAAATGATTGGAGACACCAGGAGGCACTGGAACAAAAGGTCACGCATGCCCATGGACCATGAACCCGGGGAAACGTCTTCCAGCAATCAAGGTCTGTGTCTTTACATTCGATGTGAAGAGTACTTGAATCTCCATCAAACGGAACACACACGCCGTGTATACCAGTGGCATGTATCTATAATGGGCATAGCAGGATGAGTTGCTTTCAGCGCTCTTTCCAGACTGAAGCCTGACCACGAAGCAAAACGTTGGACCTCTTAAACGCTCCTGTCATTGATTATGTAATAGGCACGATATCAATGATAGTATTTTCACATATATATTTACTGTAGCAAATGGTAGACCACCCCAGGAGAAGGTATATAATGTTGCAAGCCTCTTCTGGCAGTTTCCATGTTTCAATCCAAAGCATAATTGTCAATCTCATCCTACAACACAGAGTCATTGCCTCTTACAGGTCACTGGGACTGCAGTTGAACACATGGGCAAGAAGTTTGTCTTTAAATTATACACTTGGATCATTCTTACCTAAAGACAAAGCTGGTATCTGCAATGAGGCATGATCATGACAACTTTTTGTTTGACAATAATAACTTTGCCCGCCAATAGATTGATGGGAGGTTCATGACCGTCAAATGCCCTACACAAGGGTTTGCTGATTTCCAATCTGGATGATTTTTGTATTTCTCTTCTGCAAAGCTGCGAACCGAAACTCATATTCAAGCTTTTCACTTGAGTCTGCAGCGGCGCGAAAATCGGGCACCAACGCTGCGACGAGATTACAAGCACTGGTTTGAGCTTCGCATGAAGGGACGAAGGGACATGGCAGTCGCTCCGACGGGAACTGCTCAACGTGTGGCCAGAACCAACCAGGCTTGGACCAAAGAAAAGTAGTAGTAGTAGTAGTAGTAGTAGCAGTAGTAGTAGTAGTAGTAGGAGCCACAGCAGCAGCAGCAGCAATTAGTAGTAGTAGTAGCAGTAGTAGTAGGAATAGTAAAAACTTGTATATAATTACTTAAATTAGTAACTGCCCTAGCCTCAGTAAAGCAATAGTTGTTTGGTTAAAGATTAAATGGTGGGCAAGGAATCCTAGGTACTCATCGTTGTATTCTAGACACATCTTCATCACAAAACATGTGATATGATGGAATCCAAGAACTCGTAGAGGAGACCCTGACCTTGACTGGAACAAAAGATACCGTATCATTCCAAAGTGATAAAATATGCAGACAAAAGGAACCAACCTAATCACGTGAACCGGCAGCTCCCAACACCATCTGGAGAACGAAAAAAGGCACCCAAGAAGAAAAACCTGTCTGGGAGGACCAGGTGGAAGCCCGGATTTCAACGATCCCTATGCGTCTCCAAATCTAGAATCGCCTCGACCGAGGACTGGAGATTCGGATCGTGGATCCACCGAAAGAGCCTATCCCCTTCGAAGCGACATGAGGCCTGGCAGACCTCAAAACAGCACACGCAAAAGCGGAAAGAAAAATGTGTCCCAAGCAATGCAGCCAGTCTTGGAAGACCCAGAAGCTGGTCTGGGTCCGACAGGGATTGCGGGCAAATGGCGCGGACGGAATCTGCTCCTGACACACATCTTCAGAACAGCTACAATACGGAGTATTTTAGTATTATACTTGCACTACGAAGCAGTATGCCTTAGGATCGAACGACAATCAGTTCTTGGATGGGACGTCCACTGATGTCCAATTGCCCAAATTTGCGGCGCTCCGCACAAATCCATCGCTTCGTTGGTCTCCAAAAAATCGAAATCGCGCCAAAACTCTAATCGGGCATCACCCTCACTGGACCTTGGTCACGCCATGCGAGGCGCTTTGGGGGGGTCACCCTCACTGGACTGGCGCTTTTGGAAGCTATCAAGCCCTGCGACTATGCGTGACAATAGACTAGACCGTGCTGAGGTTCTAACCCAGAAATCTACCGAACATCGGAGAATACAGTGGTTTCAGAGTAGATTGCACAGACTTCAGGATGTCTTTTATATATGTCTTTAGTCCATATTCCACCTTTTGGGGATTGTGCCGCCAACTCTGAAACCACTGTAATAGCTTCAAAATGAGTCCTCTGCTTTTGAGGCGTTGTGTTCAGAATTCCTACGAGCGTCCGGCTTTTCCGAAGAACGACCTCATAGGGAAACGGCCCTTTGACAAACCGGTGCTTCCGAAGGCATGCCCTCAGTGCTTTGTGCTCTTGCCCACAGTAAAGAAGCTTCCCACGGTCAGTATACTGGCAGAGAAAGAACGACTGTCCACCAACTCGGATGTGGGCACATAAAAGTAGTTGCATTCACGTCAAATTGGTTGATAGGCTCACCAACCTCCACTCACCAACCTCTGGCACCCAGAAAAAAGGAATAACAATCAACCAATATCTCTGCCGTTTTCAATGATTTAAGCTCCTAAGCTCTGCTTTCTCTCCCGCCACACCCGGCACAAAGTCAGTCCCCCCAGCCTGGTGAGCTCACTTGAGCCAGCGAAGTAGACTCAAACCACACACTGGCGCGCGGGTGGGCGCCGGCGGCTGGGCGGCTGCATCCGGATCCACCCACTTTTTTGAAGCCCAACGCTGTATTTATACATTTATGCGTCTTCTAGGATTGTTTGGAAGACTCGTCTGTACGACCAATGCGCCGAAACAAAGAAAACATACAATATATAAACAAATATACTATATGTTTCAAAATATATAAACTTGGGAAGACTGTGCCCAGAGTTCCAGATCCGGCCTGCCGCGGCCGCCACGGGAATTGCAACGGACAAGCCAGCCCAGGATCGGGGCCTGTGACTGTGCTCCTGGATTCCAAGTGTTTTGGAACAACCCCCCCCGGTGGATCATAGCTTTCTATTCCCAAACGATCATTGTATATGGAAGAATTCAGTTACGTATAACTTTTGTTCAATTGATGATCCCTAAAATGATCCTACTAATGTGAGGTATAGCTCTTCCATAAACATGTCACGGTCTGGTTCTTATCCCCTTCACCACCACGGATTTTTCACAAACACTCCAAATTCTTACCCCAAACTCGGGCATTCCAGGTCAAGGAGATCAAAATCTGGAGTCATGGAGTCAACCATTCCAGGTCAGACTCGCTCCAAACCTGCAGAGTCCAACTTCTCCAGGTCCCCGACACCCAACGACGTCGTTGGGCGTCGGGGAGCCTGGAATTCTTTCAGACCCCGACGACTCCCGTCAGCTGCGGAAGGACGGCAGATGGTGCTTCACGGACTTGAAGGGTGCACATGTGCTTTTTGAAAACACCTGGCATGTACGTGTTATGAACAAATCACAAAGTTCATGATGTATAACATCTTAATACATCTTATATTGAGTGACTGGTCAAGCACCTAATAATGTTATGAGTGGAAGCATCAAATGAAAAGGATCTGTCCTCGTCGCCACTCGCGTCTGAGGAGGCCTCGCCTGAAGAAATAGGACCAGGCAAAACACACTGTGCAGCAACGTTGATGATACTTACACGTACCAGACCTAGCTAGTGAAAACACACCCAGTGCTGGTGAGGCTTCCACAGGAATAACAAGGAAAACACATTCCGAATGGTTTTGAGCTTCGACTGGCCTAGTGGAAATTTGGTTAGTAAAACATGGAATACTTTTGGACGAACCACGGAAATGGGTTGCTACACCTGTAAGATGGAGGGTACAATTCCAGTGTGGGGGGTCCTGCTCCTGATTTTATAGATATAAAATGGAGCGATGGACCCCCAGTATATCATAGAATGACTGAAATCAGGCGTGTTGACGAATATTAGAAGTTTATATTTTTGAGAAGACTTGACCCCCTTAAATCCTTATAAAATGAGCAAGTTTTCTATAAAACCACCCGTGTTGACGGCCAGCAAGTTTTCTATAATCCTATGACATCATATGACATCTGACGATATTTAAAAAAATAGGCACGGTATTGTTTTTCTTCTCCGCGTTTCTCCGGTGCGCACGGCTCTGGTCCCACATTGGTTGCCAAGCGCTTGCAAGAAAATCCCCCTTCGCTCTCATTGCAACCACAAACACACAACATGTTAGACCAATTGAGATCCTCTAAGAACCCCGCTTTCACAAGCGGTAGTTATATATACACCTGATGTTAAGCTCGTTCTACCGGTACCCACAATGAAAGAACCCGACAAGCTTGGCTCAGGGGAACATGCATCGACAATGACTCACCCAAAAAGGCCGCAGAGCGCGGCGGAAAAGCGGAAGTTCGATGGCTCCCTTTGACAGGGAGAAAGTCGCAAAATCTGCATGCTATACCGGAAGCTGAAGGGAGTAGGTCTTATCATGCAAAAGGGATGCTCCAAAATCTCCAAATCAGAACTTGAGGGAATCCAGTCAGTATTTCCGGGCTTTGCTGGTTCCCAAACAAGCTGTTTGAATGACACCCCGCCAGCTGAGTTTTGGATGTCAACTCAAAGAAAACATACACACACACATCCGGGACACTGAGTGAACACAAACGGAATTATCTTAAAGCATGATATCGTATGATATCATTTACAAGATACATCATCTTCAAACATATTCAACAAAGTGTGTTCCTGTACGCCATCATCATCATCATCATCACCATCACCATCATCATCATCATCATCATCATCATCATCTGTTTTCCTTTCCTTTTTTTCTTTCTTCCAACGTCGTCCCAACGGATTCTTCACGGAGCCGAAGAAACCATCACGGTCCCATGTTCGCTCCCTCTTCCTCCTCGGTCCGTCGATCTCACCTGATATCTTCAGAAGCGCTGAGGGAGCTCTTGTGGAAAGATCATCATCCTGACGTGAGCGCATTGTTCGCGCATCACGGACGAGAGCGCGGTTTGCGCCGAGGTCCCGAGCGCCTTGTTCTGTGACCTTTCCCTCCCCTGTCTTCTTACAAGTACCAGCCATTTGTACTCAGAACTTGGATACAACGTGTAGAGCGTAGATCTGTAGGCATGGGAGAAATCCTCATTCTACGAGGTATTCCCCACTGTCGAGCAGTATTGGCGTCTCTCCGACCATTTAAGAACCAAACATCCAGTTTCGCAAGAACATCTTGACCAATGATGTTCTCTCAGAAATAGAGGGGTCGATTTGGTATACCAATTGGTCGTTGGCAAGTTTCACAAGTGCAGGGAATCAAATTTGTCCTATGGAGCCAGCCATACAGACTGATCCCAGCGTCCAACAAATCGGTTTTGACCAACAAACACAAGATATCAGATGCAGCATGCAGGGGTCAAACCCCAAAGGCCGACCACCCTAGAGGGGATGTCAACCGACCAAATGGTTTTGGAGTGCTTGGCATTGATCCAAATTCATGGTCTCTCTAGGCTCGAGACAGATCAAATGCCATCAAATGCCTCCATCTTTGCGAAGTCCCTGTCAAATGTAAAACGTGTTAAACACCTGTAGCGCATTTTATATAGAGCACCAAAGGTCACACCGGATGTGCTAAACGGATATGCTTTTGGACCCGTTTTCGTATCCTGGAGTTGCTGACCCAAACGCGACCCTTAAGCCTCCATAGGCCTCCTGTATAAGTAGCAGGGGTACAGCCGAGGCTCTGCAGGGGTCAGTCTCAAACTCCTAAGTCTTACGTAAGATGTCTTAAGAGGACCAATGGCTGTTTAGAGCGTCTGGGTCCAGTATAGAAATAACCAATTGCACCGGGTCGGCTTGCGGAGGGCGGGACAGTGCCAGCCCGTGCCAGTCGGCGACTTCAGCGAGACGTGCGAACAAACGAGACGTGTCGGCTGATTCATCAAGGTCCTCGAGGTCAAGTAAAGTGATTCAATTACCAAAAGAATCGGATCCTCAGCACCAGCACCAGAGATTGCTCCGGTGACCGTTTTCCGGTTTGCCTGGATGATGGGCTTTCCCTCGATGCGTGGCACCACCGGCAAGTCCTGTCCGCTTCACGCGTTCAACACCGGTACAGTCGATGCTACAACAGGTGTCAGCTTCGGCACTTGTGAAGCTGGGCTTGGGAATCTGTGGGGAAATCCCAGCAAACCACATTGAAAGGGGATCATGTCTTGGGGTTCATATTCCCTAGGGCTCCAAGTACCTCCTCAGAAGGTGTTTGGACCCATAGGTTGTAAATCACAGGCCCATGATGCGAAACACACGGATTTCCCCGGCCCAGTGAGGGCCTAGTAACACCCTTTGGTCCCGTGGTTGTTCATAACACGAACTATAACACGAGTGTCAAAAAAAATGGTGTGACAAGAAACCGAGTGTAACAAGCAACAATGGAGCATAACGATCAACAACCAGAAACAAAACAAACCAATCGAGTATAACGTAATACACAGTTTTTGTTGATTGGATTCCTTACTCGGGGGTTCAGTTTCCGTTTCTTTCAAAGAACAGCTCTGCTCGTCCGGATGTTCCGGGGCACTTCTCGAGCTCCAGGGCTTCGAAAAGCTTCGACTTGTATTGAGAACAGCCGACCTCGGCCGTTGGCGTCTAAAAGAACATCCATTAATAGGCTAAGAGAAACAACAAATCTTAAGAGCTTCAGTGATCTGCGATCTTGGTAAACCATCTGCATAGAAGAACTATACTTAATATACATAGATCGATGGTACTGCAATGATTGTGGGTAAACTTTAAACCGATGTAAAACCTATCTGGAGCTGCCAATCAGAGCTCTGATCCACGAACACCTCATCACGCGCTCACGAGATCCAAACGCGTGGAAGGCGCTCGCCAAAACGCCGAGAAAGCCCCGCCGAAGCACGTGACGCAGAGATGGCGTGGCGCTCGCGGCGTGTCCTGGAACTCGCTGTCAAAACCTCCATGTGGATTGGAGCACAATTCGCCAGAGGCAACCTCGGATGGAAGAACCACCCGGACGAAGCCCCCAACACCGACCGATGAACACCGGCGCGGTGTTAAACAAGCGGGAAACAAACACCGGATGAAAAGCAACATGTGCTGCCATGATTTATGTGATTAGAAAAACATGGCATGGCATGTGGATGGTGAGCATGGCCCCTGGATGGTGAGCATGTTCCTCTAGAATCACGACCGGTCCCCAGTACTTTCGTTCGGGTGGTTGGAGGCAACCCCAAGGCTTGTGCATGGTCTCTTGGGGGACCCGAGATCGGGTCCCACATCAAACCGGATCACTCGGATTCACTCGGGATGGTTGTGTGGTGTCTGGGGTCGATGTAACTGAATGCCAGTTCCATGGAGTTGTTCAAAATACAAGCAGAATTCATCGCGGGAACGCGACGGGTGTTCATCAAGTTTGACCAGCGAAGAACGATAGTTTGAGAGTCTCCAAAATGGATGAACACGATCATGCCCCTCCCACTTGCAATGCCTCAGGGCGAGGCACGATTCCACCAGATGTCTCTCTCGCAATGAAAAAGCAATCCATGTATGATGTACTGTATGCGGGGGTTCCCTATCAAAAAAATCATCAAATTATTCCACTTTCGTGCAGGTTCTTGGAAGCTTCGCAAGGTCCGTAACCATCTCATCACCGGTCCAAGTGGATCCCGGAAATTGGAGTCGAACTGAGAAGCGGTACATGCGAATCATGCGACTTTCCTTTCCCCCCTGAGTGCCTGCAAACACATGCAAAAACCAGCTGGCCTTTAGCACCCGTGCTTCAAAATCCGAAGTGTATCGTGCTGTAGAACTATCATTCGATTCGGAGACCATCCATCCTGTTTAAAACACCAGCGCCGTGTTCAACCAGAAAACATGCAAAAACCATCCGTCCTTTCTCCCTTCGATGGGTCGACGTACACGCCCTCGAGTTCGACCGGAGACGACCGCCGCGGGTCCCGCGCCTTGATGGCCTGCTCGAGGTCCAGAATCAAATCCTGGGCATCCTCAATGCCCACCGAAAGCCTGAGCAGCTTGGTCCGAGTGCCACGTCCGTCACTGAGTTCTGTTCGAAAGCCGAGACCGACGGATGCGGGACTCTTCGCTTCACCCGGTGCAGCTCCGGACACGGGCGCATCTGCAAAGCATCAAACGGTCAAAGCGCACACGGCTGGTGTCACTCTTCGCCTGAGATCGGTCTTGTCCGTCTCGCAACTTCGCAGAAAGAAGGCCGTGTTTCTCTCTCTCTCTCAATATGCCGTGTGGATTGTTGATCAGAAACCCCCCAACTGGAGATGTGAAACCATCCTGGTACAGGGATTTTCTTCACAGTTTCCATTACTCATCGATTACTCAACTTGGCACATCGTCTCCACCTTCTTCCACTTCCACTCCTTCTCTTCTCGTTCCTTCTCCCAACCAGTCCGTCACCAACACCCACCCCCAAGCAGCTCCGAACCACACACTCCGCACCTCCCCCGAACCACGCGGTCCGCCTCGCGCTCCGTGCTCCGCGGGGCGCGCCCGAACGGCGCTTCGCCTGATGAGGTCCGCTGGCAACGTTCGCTTCTCCGCGGGGATCGACGCATGGCCTCGGCCGAGGCCGACGTTTCTCCGTGGGTGTTTGCCGTCTTTTGTGTTTTTTCTGCAGGGAAAAGGGATGCCCTGAGCTAAAATACTGGAAATACTGGAACGTGGTCATACAAAAAGACGACTTAAGGATGTAAAAGAACAGATTTTGCTGGGTCTGGACTTGTAGGGTATACCCATGGCATGGAATCCATGGGCAAAACTTGCATACCGTTTTTAATGGTGATTCACCCGTTTGGGGTATACATGGACGGCATAGACCAGCCTGGCCGACCTGGCTTGGTACGTGGACAATCCGTAAAACAATGGTGGTTCGGGATAGGCTGGCTATCAAAGCAATGGCTGGAAGCCTATAGGGTATACTAGACTGTTCAGCTTACGTGACAAACCCCTGAAACCATCCAAGGATCTTGGGCCAGGGGAATGTCCACAGATAAATGAATTGTATAAAACATATTGTCTGACCAATGCATGAGGACATGCCTACCAGGCACATCCATGAACCACACGAACTTCATACAAGTGGGGTAGCTGTGGGATGCTGTGGTCAAAACCGAGATGCACCGTGGCACCAGATCCACAAGATCAAATGCACGTGAATGGAATTGCCTCCCACGCATGTCGTGGAACATGGCCGCTTGAAAGACCGCTGTCCCTTCAAACCAATAGGATTTCCACCACGTGTGTTTTGCCTTTCAAGTCCCATCAATGAACTTCCCCAACCTTGTCCTGCGCCATTCACCACGTATAGGCTCATGCAGGCATATGTAGGCTAAATCTTCAAGCCGAGTAAACCATGTCTTGGAAGGCATCCAAATTATGGCCTGGTCCTATCCAAGAAAGGTGCTCAAATGCTGTCCAGGAACATCATATGGCTGTGGGGAACTAGGCACCATGGTCTCCCAACCAGTTGACCTACCTGATGTCGGTCGTTCACTACATGCTCGACCACTGGGTCGGTGGGTCTCGCCCAGGCCGGCAGCGCCCACACAGCCAACTGGCGCCCGGTGCAGTCCCGTCTCTTTGTTAACCGGGCGCCGGTTAATCCGTGTCATAAACATCGGGTGCACCGGTTTTATCATACACGCGACACGTTGGACAGCGGAGTGGCGTACACCGGGTGGCAGGTACGAAGGATTATCGTTTGATTGTGTCAACAAAATAGAGAACTATCAACAACTCCCTTCTTCATTTTCTTAAGCCAAACTCAGTGCAATTCTCAAGTGCAGCGTTCACAAGGGTCAAACACTTACCACCTCACAGTAGTACTGTCACCACCAATCCCCGTTCCCTTGAACGACCAGCTTTGGTTACCGGGCTCATGGTGCATGGCATCTCCAAAAGGCTGTTCACACCTCGGTGGACCACGAGGCGGTGCTGTTCACCCCGCTAGCGGGGCTGTTGTCGACCAGTTGGGGCTGTCGTGGATCCGGACCACTGCATGGTTCAATTGGCGAAGACGTGCCATCCATGTTCTACCCTACCAGATTCCCCACAACAAGAAGCTAAACACTTTCAATGGCTGAAGCTTGCTCCAGCATGACACTGCTCTCTCTACCAGGCGTTTTCTGGCAGCCTTAAGTCGAGCCTTTGGTGGACCAAGCAGGTGCAGCCTGACAAAAACGCTGAGAGGAGTATGTGCATGCCGAGATTAGCTGAGAGGTGCATGCCACGGTCGCTTCGCGGATAGCTTGGACATGGTAATGAGACGGTAATGGTCGACCAAGCTCCCGGGCTGCCAAAAGAGACGGTCGTTTTGAAGATCTTGCCTCAGATTCCACTGGCAGGTCGGAGGTGTCCAAGAAATCTGATAGATGCAACATGGCAGATCCTTTGCAGAAAAAACACATTGCAAAATGCAAGAGTGGCAGTCTGAAGTATGCAAATGAACTTGTTGTTACATATTGCATATTACATTCAAAATTACATCAAGCCTTGGCGAGTTGCAAAGGCTGACACATCACACATGCTGCCACGACTGCACTTTCTCCCATGGGGTCTTTGTTTCACGTCATCCCTCAGGTATATGGCAACAATAGCCTCGACGTCATCTCTTGAGATCCATACAAGCATCAACCAAACGACGTGAGAAGTCAAGAGATCCTGCATGACCAGCCAATTCGGGCCGCAGGTCCAAGATTGGGCAGTTATGTGTATCATGTTCTTGTTTTTGAATACGAGGATTGGGTGTCGTTCAATCCTTGAATACGAGCCTAGGAAGCTCAAACCGAGGGTTGATTAGAGATCTCAAACTATGTAAACGGATCATTCGTACCCTTACACACAAAAGGTATCATACACCAACAATAAGAAACTCCAGGTCTGAATAGTCTGAGTATCCTATATTATCACCAAACAACTGGACACGGTGACCTTCCGTTGCTTGGGCCGGACCTAAACTGGATCACCGAAAGCAACCAAGATCACCCAAACTCCAGCCCGTCGCTACGTTGCTTCCTCCCAACTTGGATTTACTTAAGAAACCGAGCCAAAATATAAGACACACTCCTCAGGTACGGGGATTACACACAACCGCCCGGGAAAAAAAACAACGGCACAACAACAGCCCGTTCATCTCGTCCGAAGTAACCGTTTTCAAGGAACCTGTGGTTCTCCCAGCGGACGAGTGGACGAGAGCTAAGCCCCTCCTGTGGTAAAGCTGATCACAGATCCACTGCCTTTGCTCTGGGAGCAATGGATCGCTAAGCCTCGGAAAGCAACGTCCATCGTCCGAGACAGGTTGTTGCATTGGAGGATGACGGCATCCCATGCCATGGGATGCAACGGATGATGTGAGCCATGTTGGTTTAAGATAAATTAACATACTATGAGGTGTCAATGTTTATATAATTCATATACCCGGACCTTCCAACTACCAAACAACTCTGGTCGTTTTGGTTTTATGGTCGTTTTGGTCGTTTTGTTTGTTTTGCCTTATTTTGCGGACTTTTGTTGTCGTTTGCTGATGTTTTGCGTGCGTTTTGCGCTAATTTGCGGATATTTTGTCGGTTGTGCTAATTTGCGGCCAGTTGCGTGGAAAACCGGGTCAATAACCAAAACTACCTGAATTTGTTGGTCGTTGGAAGATCCAGGTACATATACCCTGGCGGTCCAGGACCTGAAAAAGTAGGGTCCTCGGAATGTCTGAGGAATCAGGACCTGAAAGGTACACACTCGGCAATGCTTGAACCATGTACTTTTTGAGGTCCCGGACCTCAAAAGGAACGTACACAATATATAGTTAACATCCGTGATCCTTTGGCCCCATTTGTTTCTTGTGGTCCCGACCTCATCGATGATCATTTCCCACTGTTTCTGCAGCCATTTAGTCATGGATCCGTCCACCTACCTGGTGGTAATACATGCCCCTTTTCCCATCTCTTCACATGCACGCACCTAAACCTACACATGTTTTAGCATCGCAGTACTCACGCTTGCTCACGCTCGCCGAGGTTCTTTTTGAGGTCCGTCGAGGTTCTTTTTGGGTCCGCAGAGGTTCTTTTTGGGTCCGCCGAGGTACTTTATGAGGTCCTTGCTCACGCTTGCTCACGCTTGCTCATGGGGAGTGAGGAGCTTCAAGCAGGGGGGTGAGGCTTCTTGAGAGGCCATATGGGATACTCGGCTCGTGGGTCACTCGGCATTGTTGTGGGACACTCGGCGCATGTACTTTTTAGGGTCCCCTCGGCGGAGGACTTACTTTTCAAGGTCCCAGGACTCTGAGGGATATATATATATATAGTATAATAGGGAATCTCTAGACTTGAAGGATTACAACTTTGACGTCTACTAACTCAACATGCGGCCCTTGCACACCAGGTACCAACCAAGGTTGAAGGACTCTAGTTCGACTATCCCATAGGTACCTCAGCAAGTTCCTAAAAGGTCACATTGACATAACCAGGGATTTTTCTCCAGGCCACACCGGCAGGAGCCTCCAAATTGGCTGTTTGACCCAGACGGCCCTTTTCAACGGAGCCACGTGGTCCAATACCGGTCCAACACCGACCACGCCGGGCTTCCCAGCTGGTGGCATCACAGCCACCGGGACCGGGAAAAAAGACCTCGCAGCGGCCCGGGTCGAGAGGCCATCGAAGCGCCGAGGCGGGCAGGTTGGGATGAGTGACACGGAGAAAAAAGGTGCGGATGAAGGTTTCTCATGGTTTCTGGATCACCTCCGGTTGCAGAAGGATCAGACTCGAAACTTGAGGTGACCATGAGCAAGCCCTCACCCAGCTGGGCGGGTCGCCCGCTTGGCACCGATCTTTCCCCTTGGGAAGATAATCATCACTTCAGCCTCCGTTGGAAGGAGCTTCACAGGATGTGCTGGATAGATGTTAAGTAATTACAAAGGAGGCCATCGCTACTAGGTCGATGGCCATTGCTATTAGGTTGGAGGCCATCGCTACTAGGTCGATGGCCATTGCTATTAGGTTGGAGGCCATCGCTACTAGGTTGGAGGCCATTGCTATTATTGCATAATACATGGAGTGTCTTTGTATATTGGACGGTAGGGGTGCCCATGATCCACTCACCGGACTAATACCGGTACAGTGAGTTGAGAGTAGACGGCACAATCCCCCGAAAAAAAAAAATAAAAATAAAACACTGTTATAATATGAAATACCGGTTGGTTTTTTCAACCCACTTGAAACATATTAGTCAGAGGGTCCAATCATCCCCAAGTAAGGGTTGAAAATAAACATATCGGAAACCATCACCCATCGAACCATGAACACCCATCGAACCTGTGAAGACATCGGTTATTTGATGTTATCGACTCTCTGAGGTTTCACTGTAAACCGTAAGCACACCGACTTCAGTCGATCTGTCACACACCGACGACCGTCAGTGTCATGCGGTCGAAGCAGCCCGTCCTGAAAAACGACACGGTGCAGTCAGCCCGACGGTCGCGGTGCCGGCCTTGTCGATAAACGGATTTCGGAGGAGGAAGTTGACGACCTCGGACCCCACAGCGAGGCTGTGAAAAATCAAGGCGGAA